CTGCTGACCGCCAGCAAGGCGGAGGGGCAGGTGGTGTGGGCCAATGTCACATCCGTGCCCTGCAGGTGCGCCGCGTGGCTGTGCGCTGCGTGCCTGCCCAGCTGCGCGTGCCCTGGTGCGGCCCCGGCGGTACGGGCCGCTAGGCGCCCCGCATGCCGCTAGGTCCCCAGCCCGCTCCCGCCCGCGCTGGTGCCTGACTGTGCACCCCGGGTGTGCGCCGCCGCGTGTGGGAGTGGTGTGCAGGAAGGGCGAGGGTGGCGGGCAGCCGGGGTGCTGCTCCAAGCGCTTCTCCTTCCGCATCAACTCCACAGACATCCTGGTGTTCCAGCAGGTGGGGGGCGGCCCTGACCCTGGCCTGCCTGCCTGACTGACTGGCTGCCTGACGGCTGGCTGGCTGCCTGGCTGGGTGGTGGGCCCGGGGCCTGCTGCTGCTGCTGCTGCTGCCGCCGCCGCCGAGGCGGGTGGCGCAGGGAGGCGGGGTGTGGGGAGCGGGCGGAGGGAAGGGGAGCTGGCGCAGGCTGGCAAGGCGCGGGGTGTGAGGGCGGGGCGCCGTACGAATGCCCTGCCCTCTCTGATGTCGTCATGCCCCGGCCTCGCCCCTGCTCACTCAAGCACCCCCACCCCCCACCACTCCCAGATCTACCGCCACCACTACCTGCGCGCGCTGTACGTGCTGCTGCGCGACTACCAGCCGCGCTACATCCTGGACGCGGGCGCCAATGCCGGCTTCTCCACCTCCCTCTTCAAGCTGCTCTTCCCCAACGCCACCATCGTGTCGCTGGAGCCAGACGCACACAACCATGCGGCGCTGATGCGCAACACAGAGGAGTGAGCGGCGGGGGGGGGGGGGGGGGGGGAGGGGGCGAGGGGCGTCGGGGGTTCCCTGCCCCAGCACGCCACGCCACGCCCGGCCTGCCCGCTGCCGCCCCCGCGCGCCCGCAGGTTTTCCGACGTGCACCGCGTGCGTGCTGGCCTGTGGAGCCGCCAGGCCAACATCACGCAATCGTTTGACGATGGCGACTGGGGCAAGATCTTCCGGGAGACGGCGCCGGGGGAGGCGGGGCTGCCCGCCTACAGCGTGGCCGACATCGCCGCCAAGTACAACATACCTGCCTTTGACTATGTGAAGATAGACATAGAAGGCGAGCCCGGCGCCCGCTTCTTGCCGCCTGGGCCGCCTGCACATGTGGACCCTGCGCAGCCCGCCGCCACATGCCCGTGGCGGCTATGCCGCCGCGGTGCGCCCGACCGCCACGGCCACGCGCCCACCACCTCCCGAGATCCCACCCCGGTCGGCGCTGCCCTCGGCGTGTGCTGGCGCCGCGTCTGAGCCTGCCCCCGCCTGGCCTGCCTGCTGCGGCCCCCGTCCACGCGGCGTCCTGCTGCAGGGGCTGAGGGCATGGTGTTTGGGCCCGACGCCGACACCAGCTGGGTCAAGGACGTCAAGCTCATCTCGCTGGAGGTCCACGACTTCTTCGCCAAGCACTTTGGCCTGCACGTGAGCCCCTGCGGGCCGGGCCGGGCCGGGCCGGGCTGGAGGCAGCATGGGGCTGGGCTGGGCTGCCGCACGGGTGGGCTGCGATCCCCGCTGCTCTCAGCCAGCCTCGGCCCGTGGCCCCCGCCCCCGCCGCGGTTTGCGCAGGCGGTGACTGGGCGCGTGAATGCGGTGTTTGGGGGCCTGGACTTTGCGCTGACCGCCGACAACGAGCACATCTTTTACATCGCCCCAGAGCTGCTGCCAGGCGCCAGCTCAGCGCTAGCAATGAGCACCCAATGACCACGCACCCGTCGCCCCAGCACCGCCCCTGCTGCCCGCTCGCTCCTGCCCGCTCGCTCCTCCTGTGCATCGGCTTGCGCATCCTGCCTCGGTGGCGCGTGCCTCGCCGTTGCAATGGGCCCCAGTGTCCCTTTTCTCGCCCACATTTCATCAACACTACCTGTCATCACAAGTTGCTGTGATTTGTCCCTGTGAACTGCCACTGTATCACGTCCACCTCATGCTGCACGTAGCTGGGCGCCAGGGCCGAGGGATGTGCCCGGCACGTCTGTCGCCAGCTGGCTGGCCCAAGGGCATCAGTATGGGGGGCAGCTTACAGATGTATGAGTGAAGCAACATCGAATCTTGGCAGTCTGACAAAATGCAAGCGTGGCTCAAATGTGGTGGTCATCGTGGGTCTCAGCCAGGGGCCGCCGCTGCGGGTGCCAGGTTCTGCAGCGAGTGGTAGAGTGCTGCAAGCCACCACTGCAGCAGAGCAAGGAGGCAGGACTAGTTGGCTGGCAAAGTACTGGTCGCCGCGCCTGTCAGATAGATCATGCTGGCACCACCGCACCTGCGGCGCCGAGGGATGACAGTAATGTGTGCATTCGTGGTCGTGGCCGTTGTTCTGGTGCATGTCCGCCATGGGCAGGGTCTCGTTGAAGGATGACAAGATGGGGATGCCTGCTTTGCGCATGATGGGGTCGGCCAACTTGTTGCGCCACGCGCCGTGCAGGATGTCGCCGGGGTCCTCGAACCCTTGCTCCAGCACGATCTCACCCCCACCCTGCAAGCACGTAGGCAGAGGGGTATGCAACAGAGAGCCTGTCCGCTCCTCTTACTGGTAGCGCAGCAACAGCCTCCACCCAGAGCCACCAACCCAGGCTGCCAGGCAGTGCGCTACCAACCCCTGTTGCAGCTGGAGGCTCACCACCACAGAAAAGTGCTCTAGTTTCTGGCATTGGAACGGCGGCTTGCCCCCTGCAGCCAGCCGTCAAGCTAGAGCTTTAGCCAAGCCTGCAAAGCAACTGCCTGGACCAGCACTGCATGGCTGGACCAACACTACATGCCTACCTGGGTACTCGCCCGCCGGCGTCTGGAAGTGCTGCTGCGAGGTCTGCTGCCACAGCAGACGAGGCAGCGTGCGCTGGTGCCGGTGGTAGTAGTTTGCAAATCCGACCAGATGCTGTGCATAGTCGCTGCTGTTGTGATGCAGGCCAAAGTTGACCACCAGCAGGTCAGTGGGCCGTGCGACCCTCGGTAGCAGCAACAACGCACGACCATACATGAGTTGGCCCTGCACACAGACAAGTCCAAGACCTCAGAGTTGGACAGGCGGGAAGCCTGCCTTTGCATTTCTGCACACGCGCACCACGTCGACACGGATGTAGCAGATGCTAGTGCCATGCACTAAACGGGCGCATGAAGCAGGTGGGACGGCGTCGAAGTCGGCCTGCAGCTCCTCGTCATCCGTCAGCGGCTCATGATCCAACCCGGGCCCTTTGTAGAACTCAATCATGAAGCAGGCGGCGGCCTGCAAGGCGCAGGGTGTGGGGACGGATGGATGCTCATGCATAAGCATGCTTATGCATGAGCATTCCCTTGGGCACGAATGATAGGCATGCGGGCCTCCCGCAAGACAGGGCCGGCGGGAGCACCTTGAAAAAATCGAGCATCATCGAGTCGCCCATGAAAAAGAGTGTGCGGCCGTGCAGGTGTGGCCACAGGTCGCATGGAGTCAACGTCAGCGGCAGCGCAAACCCACGGGCCACCCAGCTGTCGATGAGGCCGGTTTGCACCCAGCCGGGGCACAAGGGCCCGTTCTTGTACAAGCAAGGCAGGCTCCAGCCGTCAGTGCGATTGCAGATGGCGCATCCGGGGCGCTGGGCGATCCCGCCCATTAGGTAGGGCAGTGTGCCTGCACGTACGTCTTCCAATGAATGCCGTGGGTACTCAATTGGACAGCTGCCATCATCAGTGGGAACAGCAGGGTCGTCGACGCTGGTGCGGCTCCCAACCGCAGCCGCACTGCCGAGCTCAGAAGCCTCCTCCCCAAAGCGCGGCCTGATACACTGGCTGCTTTTCTTGTCAAGCCAGAAAACCAATAAAATCCCTGCAAACGTGCACACCGGTGTGGCAGGCGGTTGCGGTGCTCAGGCGCCAGACGCCAGCTTGTCGCTGCTGCCGCTGACGGGCCGCCTTGCAATCGACCCGGCGACTACCATTAGCCAGCTTGGTAATTGCAGCAGCTGCTTACCTGCCAACAACCACAGCCCTTTCATCCCTCCCTTCCGCCAGACAGGTCGAGGTGCCATGGTTGTTCTACGCATGGTAGTGTTATTGGTTGCAGACGGCTCGCTTCTCAAAAGTACAAATAGCGATGGAACACGCTGCAGCGACAGAACTCCATCCAAGCGAGGCAGGCAGTGGCCAAATTGAAAGCGCTGTGCACTGGCGCAGTCAGGGGGGGCGAAGAGAAGATGGAAGTGTGAGTGAGGTGCTTCACGGGGCCACACATACTGAACAGGTCACGCCTGGTCAGCGGAGGGAGGCCGTGCAGCAGTGTTTCTGAAAGCTGGCGAAATCGCCAAATGCTGGCGAAATCGGGCCAAAAAACGGTTTCTGGCTG